CATCCTCTTGGTTGGAGTGCGAGCTGCCAAAACTCCCTGGAAAATAGTCTAACAGGAGATACTAAAACGTACAAAGTACATTTGTTTTGAACCAGTAACACCAGGATTCTGTTCTACAGAAATAAAAGGTCTGCTATATCAGCAACATCCCCTATATCCATAACTACATCTCCAAACATTTCCTTCACTTTCATGTTCTAACTGAAACTTGGCTTTTTTCTGAAGATCCTTCCTCTGAAGCCTTCTCTCTACCACTCCCTCTCCTATCTGTGGGTTTGGAAGTGAGAGACCTGTCCTCTTTATTCATTCCCACTTTTGAGGATTCTTCTTTCTTTCTGCTTAAAAAGTCCACTTTTATGTAGAGTAGGTTAAGAGAATTATCCTGAGTGATGATGTCCGGAATTAGAACCAGGCTTTTGATGTCCTTCGTTGTGTTTGCTTTCTTCAAACTACCACAGAGCAGGGGGCCTGGGTGGTACAGTCAGTTAAGTGGGTGGCTCCTGATGTCAGCTTAGGTCACGATCTCAGGGTCATGAGATTGAGCCCCACATCCGGCCCCGGACTCAGCTCGGAGTCAGCTTGAGCTTTTCTATCTCCCTCTACCCCTCCCCACCATGTGCACGCTCTCTCTCTCTCAGATAAATAAGTCTTAAAAAAAAAAAAACCTACCAAATAGCTATTGTTAATGGTCCTATTCACTTACCTGTAGTTGAAAACAAATCAACACTTAGTGCTGGAGCAGTGCTAGGAAAGAATCCAGAGTTCTGGATTCACATCTACGCTTGTCACTACTAACCTTCAGTAAATTATGTACTGATCCTAGTTTACTCACCAACACCAGAACCTATACCATTTATTTTTTGAGAGGAATCAATGACATAATAAATCTACAGCACTTTGGGTAGAATACAGTAAACACCTGAACAACATAGAAGTCACGAGTACCAAGCTCCATGCAGTTGAAAATCAAGTATGACTTTCAACTCCCCCAAACTTATCTACTAATAGCCTACTGAACAGAAAGAAGCCTTATTGATAACAGTTGATTAACACATATTTTGTACATTTGTATGTATTATATACAGTACTCTTAAAGTAAGTTAGTGGAAAGCAAATGTTATTAAAATGAGAAGAGAAAATAGATTTACAGTACTGTACTTACTGAAAAAAATCCACTTATAAATGGACCTGTGCAGTTCAAACCCATGTTGTTCAAGGGTCAACTGTAAACACTCAATAAATGTATAAGTGACATCGATAACAAAAACACCTTCAAATCTCAAAATTTCTTGGGGCGCCTGGGTGGCTCAGCTGGTTGAGTGTCTGCCTTCGGCTCAGGTCATGATCCCAGGGTCCTGGGATCGAGCCCCATGTCAGGCTTCCTGCTTCTCCCTCTCCCACTCCCCCTGCTTGTGTTCCCTCTCTTGCTGTGTCTCTGTCAGATAAATAAATAAAATCTTTAGGGCGCCTGGGTGGCTCAGATGGTTGGGCATCTGCCTTCGGCTCGGGTCATGATTCCGGGGTCCTGGGATGGAGTCCCGCATCGGGCTCCCTGCTCCTTGGGAGCCTGCTTCTCCCTCTGCTTCCCTCTCTCTCTCTCTCCCATTCCATCTCTCATGAATGGATAAATAAAATCTTAAAAAAATAATAATAAATAAATAAATAAATAAAATCTTTAAAAATCTCAAAATTTCTTTATATATTCTTGCTCTACAGATGATCTCAAACAGTTTCAAGGCTTTAAATATTATCTATATGCAGATGATTTCCAAATTTGTATTGCTAGCCTGGATCATTCTCCTGCACTCAACACTACTATATCCAGTTAGACATCTTCACTTGGATGTCTGATAGAAACTTCAAACTTTACATGACCAAAACTGAGCTACTCATCTCACCCCCACACCCAAATGTGCTCCTCCCATAGCCTTCCTTATCCCAGTTAATGACTCTTCCATTTCCAGTTACTTAGGTCAAAAAGCTGAGATATCCTTATTTTCTCCCTTTCTCTCACTTCACACACAATCCCTTAGAAAATCTCATCCACTTTACCTTCAAAATATATTCAGAATCCAACTACTCCTCATGATTACTTTCCTAGTTCATCCTGGTTCAAGGAGTCTTGCATCACTGCAAAAATCTCCTACTTGGTCTCCCTACTCCTCCCTTACCTTCCTTCAGGCTATCCTCAAGAAAATAGCCAGAGTGACCCTAATAAATCATAAGTCCTGTAATCACTCAAAATCCACCTTGCTTCAGAGTTAAAGCCAAAATTCTTACAATAGCCTACAAAGGCCACTTGTGAACTAGCCCTGCTTTAACTCTCTGACCCTATCTCCTACTACTTTCTTCTTCCCTCCTTCCCTCAGTTCTAGCCACACTGGCCTCCTTGCCATTCCTGGACAAGGTCCCTTGAGGCCATGCCTTAGGACTCTTATATGCCTTATTTCCTCTATCTGGAATCCTCTTCCCCTAAGTACCCACATGATTTGTTTAGTATTTAACTTTTAGGTTTTCACACAATTAACACACTCTCAGCAAGGCCTTCCCTTGATAATCCTATTTAAAATTAAACACCCTACCCCCAGGCCCTTGGGTGGTTCAGTTGATTAAGTGGCCGGCTGTTGATTTCAGCTCAGGTCAGATCTCAGGATCTTGGGATGGAGCCCCACCTCTAGCTCCAGGTTCAGTGGGAGTCTGCTTGAGTTTCTCTTTCCCTCTCCCTCTGCCTCTCCCCTGCTCATGCAGTGTGATCTCTCTCTCTTCCTCCCTCTTTCTAAAATAAATAAATAAATCTTTTTTTTTTAAGATTTTATTTATTTATATGAGAGAGAGAGTGAAAGAGATCACAGAGGGAGAGGGAGAAGCCGACTCGCCGCTGAGCAGGGAGCCTGATGCGGGGCTCGATCCCAGGACCTGAGATAATGACCTGAGCCCAAGGCAGACACTTAACTGACTGAGTCACCCAGGCGCCCAATAAATATATCTTAAAAAAAAAAAATTTAAACACCCCCCCTCCTCAAAATTCCCTATTTATTTCTCTCCACAGCATTTATCACCACCTAACATAGCCTATATTCCATTTATTTATTTTGACTCTTCTCTGTCTCTTCCACTAGAATGTGAGCTCCACAATGGTAAGAATTATATTTAATATTCTGCTGTACCCTGTACCTAGAACTATACTAACACATAAAAGGTCCTGAAAAAAGTTGATTGAGAATGGGATGTTTATTACCAGGATATTCACTGTGACGTTAGTTGTATGAAACCAAAAAATGAAAACCTGATTGTCCCTCAATTTTTTAAAAACCAAAAAGTAGTAACTATAATAATGTTTAACATTCAAACACTTAATATTTGCCAGTGCTTTAGATATATTAACATTTAATTACTGAAACAACCCCTTCAAGTAGGTAATAAAGAAACTGCACATATGAAGAAACTGAAGTAGAATGGTTAAGTAACTCACCCAAGGGTCACAAAGTTAATAACTGGAGAAGCTAGGATTCAAAACCAGGCTCTTACTTCACAGCCAGTCTTCTTGACAAGTTACTATGCTACGCTGACTTTCATAATTATATGATCCTACCTCTATTAAAGACAAAGACAGCAGAAGCTCTTACCCAATGAGAATAAGACTTACTAGTCAATTAATTTAAAAAGTCACTTAAGATGAAGAATAAAAACATTCCATACATTACTTACATATTTCATTTAAAGCATGAAGTGTACACATTTATGCATCAATCTTTTGATGAAAGCCTACCCCTTTCTTTAGGGCATGGGTCCACCAACATTCTTTGGAGTCTTTCTAGCATAAACCATATCCATAAGACACTGATTTAATTTCTTGGAGTGCAAGAACTCCAAGCACTTGCCAAGCATTAAGTGCACAATACTAAATCTTAATGATTTTTTTCCAAAGTCATCTTTACACCTATCTTGCCCACACCTAACTGAATAACAATTTTCCAGCAAATTGACCCTAAAGACCTTTTCCAAAGCATTTAATTTTTCAGATAAAAACTCTTGCACTGATATTTTTATGACAAATATAACCAGCACACAATGGTTTGGGAGCAAATACAACTGACTTTTGAGGTGCCTGGGTGGCTCATTCGTTAAGCATCTGCCTTCGGCTCAGGTCATGATCCTGGGGTCCTGGGATGGAGCCCCACATCGGGCTCCCTGCTCAGCGGGGAGCCTGCTTCTCCCTCTCCCTCTGTTGCTCCCCCTGCTCTCTCTCTCTCTGTGTCAAACAAATAAAATCTTAAAAAAATTAAAAAAAAATACAACTGACTTTTGTCAAGAGTACAACTCAACTGGTGAAAGCAAAAATACTTGGACATATTACAGAGCAGATCTTAGGAACTGGAAGCCATCTGCTCCAAGTAATCAGTCAAGTGAAAGGTAAGAGAGCTTACACATTAAGTATGTGTATCTGTATATGCAGAAGAAAAAAGTATACAAAGACACACAACACACTGGGAATGAGGAGGGGGGAATAAGATGAAATTTAATTACACTTTTACAATTTTACGTTACTGACTTGCATAAAGTATGCATTACTTGGTAGATTTTTTAAGTAAAAAACAAAAACCACTGTGAATTAGGTAATAGTATCCCCATTTTATAGGGGAGGAAAGATTCAAGAAAGTGGGAACATGCCCAAGGTCACAGAACTCATGAGAAGCTAAGTTGAAAGGCTAATTCAGGTTTGCCCCAAGTTTCAAAGCTCATGGTTTTCCTACAATACCAAATTCCTGGGCAAAAAATTCAAACAGATCACTGATTTTTTTAAAATACATGAACAAAGAGCATCGTGTTATTCTTTTCCTTTTCGGTAATAAAGAGTCAGATGAAGCCAAAAAGAGAGATTTTCAAAGTGAATTATAAGCCTGATTCTACAGCCCAGAGTTCAGGCTTAACTTTCTATAATTTAAAAGAACAAAGATCACACACCCTAATATTCATTTAAAAGGAAAGAAATTTCTTACATCTGTACAAAAGTAGAAAGGGATCATTTCTTCCTCCACTGGCCATGCATATAGCTCCTTTAGTCCCTTCTCTCTGTCCATGTCATCTTTCTCCAGGGGTTCAAACAGCAACCTAGAAGCAGTAAACCAAGGCACTAGGGGAGTCTGTTATATTTGGAAATTTGGGAAAATGGACTTCAGTAAAAGTAACCTTCCCCATACCTGCATTCTTTTTTTTTTTTAGATTTTATTTATTTACTTGAGAGAGAGAGAGCAAGAGAGAGAGCACAAGAGGGGCCGAGGGAGAGAGAGAGAAGCAGCCTCCCTGCTGAGCAGGGAGCCTGACGTGGGGCTTGATCCCAGGACCCCAGGACCCCAGGACCATGACCTGAGCCGAAGGCAGACACTTAACTGAGTCACCCAGGCATCTCGGCATTAACTCTTTAAGACCTATTCTCTTCCATTTGAAACAGCTTAAAACAAATTGTGCATTCACTATTCATACTCAATTGGTTCCAAAATAAACAGGAGAAGAGGATAACTAGAAAAGTCTTAGAAAACATCAAATGGACTGAGAAGCATGATAAATATACTCTAGGGAGTTTCAGTCAAATCACATGTCACAAAAAAAGTGAAACTGAGGAAACCTAAGATTTCTAAAATATTTTACTTTGCTAATTTCAATGTATCAAATGAAGCAACATATTGAGAACTAGTTCCTAGCAATACCACCCAGTTCTGTCCTGACTCCTATGGATATTCCAAGCACATGCTCCATACTGTTAGTGAAGCAAACCTGAAACCTAGTGTTATGCTACTCTCTAGTGGAAAAAAACCTTTGATAGCTCCCCACGTGTACAGATTAAAATTTAAACCCCATTCTGCACAGCTTTGAAAGGCCTCCAAAATCTGGCTCTAATTTACCTATCCAATCCTATTTACCAGTTCTCTAAATTCTCTAAATCCATCAAAACAAACACTCCACACTCTTCCATCTTCATACATTGCTCAAGCATTTATTTCCTCAGCTTTCAGCATCCTTCTGCCTACCACCTGTTGAAATTCTATTCCTCCTTCAAAACTAGCAAAGTACAGTGGAAAAGAGCCCAGCCTTAAAGCCTGATCCAGACCCACTAGGTTTCTAATTCCAATTCCATCCTCACTATTTAGTAACTTAATGAACTTAGGCAAATACTTCAATAAATCGGTTTCCTCACTTAGGAGCGGCTATTATCATCTATGGCACTTTACAAGGCTTCTGTGAAAATTAAGCAAGATAGTTATAGACAATCTATCTAGCACCATGCCTAAGGCATAGTAGATACTTAATGAATGGTTAACCCCTAAGTCATCCTTCTCTTCTCTCCTCTTCCCACCTCCGTGGATACTCCTATCCTTCCCTAAATTCCCACAGCACTTTGTTTATACCATATTACACTATGAACAATAATATATTGCAGGATACTCATTTATGTATGTATGTATCTTGCTTCTCCAATAGGTTATAGCTAAGATGGTTATGGGTATGGATTTCTAAATCTCTGCCACCTAACTACTCGTGTGAGTGATGTGACCTCTCAGAACCTGTTTCTTCATTAACAAAATGAATGAGAGTTAATTCCTTACAATGTTATTAAGAGGTTTAGAAGAGGTAAGGTACATTAAATACCTGGTATAACGCCTGACACCTAGTTAAGTTTCAAAGAATGTTCAATGGCAACTGAATGATGAACTTGATCCAGCAACTGCTTAAGGAACACATAAATGGAAAATGCATTTGCCTTGGTAAATCCAATTTCCTAAAGCAATCTGCTTTTTTAGGGTTTTTTTAAGTTCTATGCTCAACGTGGGGCTTGAATTCACAACCCTAAGATCAAGAGTCACATGCTCTATTGACTCAGTCAGCCAGGCACCCCTCACAAAGCAATCTTATAACAACCTATCACTCACCTCTTAACTGATATAAACGTCCAAGGAAGAAAAAATGGAGGTACCCATGTACTTTACCTCAGAAATACCACCACATATTCATGTCTTCCCAGTATCAAACTAAGTACATCACGACATATAACTCACATCACCTCATAATACTTATCCTGGGAGCTTACCCCTAAAGAGCTGTAAGGGGTAAAATGGTCTGCCAAATTAAACAAAACTCTGAAATAAATGGTCTACCGGGAAGAGGAGGCTGGTTGTCTGCTGTTTATTCACTCTGATCCTAAGTTGCTGTGTCCTCAATTTCTTTACCCACAACTCCAAACAAATGTCAACTATTTCTATAATAGTATTTTTCCATTTATACACTTCCAACCCACTGCTCAATTTAAAGAAAGACCCACCTCAGATTATAGTGAAATCTAATCAAGGGAAGTACAGAAAAGTGGTAACTTGTTAAAAAAAAAAAAGACTTAGTATCACAACATTTGCATTCCACTCTCAGCTGTATACTGATATTTACACAGGTGGTATAGCACACAAGTCAGGAGCTCAGGAAAGGTTCTGGAAAGATGGATCTGGCTTTAAATCCGATACCACCACGTAACTGGCTGTGTAACCTAAGTATGTTACTTCTTAAGCCTCACATTCCTCATCTGTAAAATAGGGATTGTAACAGCATGAGTCTCATAGGGTTGTTGTATTAAATGCGATCATGTCTGCTATGTGTTTTCAAAGTACTTATAACATGGTAAGTACTCAATAAATGGCATTTGAACTAGCAGTGCCCGAACACTAAAGTTCTTGGTAAATAATGCTGAATTAATGAATGTTTAGCACATTTTATATTAGGAAATAAGTGTACCACTAACTTTAATTCTATCCTAAATGAAATCATGATTAATAGTAGCAATAGCGCTTAGGAATAAACATTTCAGTTTACAAGCCCTTCATACATCCATAAACTCATTTGATCTCCACAATATCCTTAGGGGGCAGACATTTTTTAAAAGTATTTTAGAAATAAGAAAACGTACCCATTAGGGTAATAAAGAGTCAAGGTTACCCACCCTAGTGGTTTCCTCCAATCACTCTCCAACTCAGAAATAAGTGCTTAGTGCCAAAAGTTCTTAACACGACAACCACTAAAAGGAGGCAGATTTCTGCAAGTTACCACCCACCTCAAGCACTGTCAAGAACGTGAGTCCAGGAATAAGCCCAGGGTAAAAAAAAAAAAAAAAAAAAAAAAAATGTCAGAAGCCACTGATGACACTTATAATTGTTGCATCGTTTCCTTATGTGGTGTCCTCCCACACCTTTAGGGTGGGGGCCAGGTTTGCCCCCTCCCCCACCAGAGCGCCCAATACAGGACCAGGCACCCAAGAGGCCTTCAATAAATATTTGTAGAAACAGCATGGGATGTTGGTAGGTTTTCCAGAGACCCGAAACTACGCCAGCTCCGCGGTGGGGATTAAGCATCTCGGTAAATCTAGAGTGGAAGGGCGGAGAGGGTCCAACGGGTAACTGGACTGGGAAGAATGGTTGAGGACGGGTGCGGCTAAGGAAAACCAGGGAAGCTGACCCGCTGAGGGGAGAGGAGAGGGCCGCAACCCGGGCTGGAAGGCGGGGAACCGACAGAGGCTCGGGGGCTGGGAGTAGCAGGGCAGTTGGCGTTTGGGGGGGAGGGGGCCGCCGCTGGTCTGAGAAGAATCTCGGGCCAATCTGAGAAGGGTTCTGGGCTCCTCCGAGGGCCCACTCCCCAGCCCGTGGCGGCATTTGCTGCACCGAGTACTCGCTGCTACCTGAAACTGCAGCAGCTTCTCTGTCTGCTCCTGGGTTAGATCCCGCTCCTCAGGCGCCGCCATTTTGCCGCCGCCTCTACGCTTCTGACCCGTCCGCACCGTCACCCGCCGGAAGTGACCTCAGCAGCAACCACATCCGGTCTGAACGGCCGCCGGCGCGCAACTGCGTCTGCGCGTGCTGGCGCAGCCCGGAGGGGTGCTGGTGGTGACAATTCCCGCCGTCAGAGGGCGCCACTCTCGGGCCAATCCCGAACACTTCCGGAAATTGCCGAGGGACTGTGTTATCCGTCGCCCTTAAAGATTTAGGCGAAGAAGGGATCTGTAGAGACCCTAGACTGCCAATAGATCGCAAAGAGGCGAGAGCTCCCGAGTGCTCCTGGAGAAGCTCCGGAAATTTCCGAATGCCAATTGGCCGATTTCGCCAGCTTCCTAACCATTTTCCCATAGTCTCCAATATTCCGGAATTATTTCTATTTCTTTTTTTTTTTTAAGATTTTATTTATTTATTTGAGAGAGAGAGAGAGGGAGCACAAGCAGGGGGAGGAGCAGAGGGACAGGGAAAGCAGACCCCTTGCTGAGCAGGGAGCCCGATAGGGGACTCGATCCCCGGACCCTGGGATCACTGGGATCACGACCCCAGCCAGAGGCAGACCCTTAACCGACTGAGCCACCCAAGCGCCCCAATATTCCAGAATATTTCTTAGGAGATTGTGGCCCTTCCGAAATATCGGCTGTTTGATGTTTGATTCCTTCCATGACGTTTCCAGAAGCGCCTGATCATCTCTCAGGAGATTCGGAAAGTCCCTGAATAGCGGTCGGGTATTTCTCGTGCCGCCTTGAGCTAGAAGTTCTGAAAGGCCTCAGCCACGTGAAAATCGGGGCTTCACAGTCGCTTGCTGGGATTGTTTGGACTTGGCTACTTGAGTCTTTGACGGTTAATGGCGCTACCAGCCTTGGGCAGAGCTTTCCATCCACCCAGGTGGCAATTCTGCTCCTACCTGCCTCAGGCCCATTGGCCCGTCCTCCCTGTGATAGAGACTGAAGGAAGAGCCTGGACTGGGATCCGGGTACTTGGCCTCAGGGTCTAGTGCCCACCTGGCAAAGTGCTGGACGTCCTTGGGCAAACCACTTCCTCTCTGGGCTCCATTTTGCCATTGGTGGAATGAGGTTCCCCCAAAGCCACTGACACCCTGCCTCAGCTCATTCTCCTTGGAGGCAGGCCTTCACCCTTTCCACTGCCTTATTTCCACCCTTCACTGTCTGACTTCCTGTCACTTTCTTTGTCCCTTCAAACTGCCACCTCTGTTTAGATCTCTCTCAATTTCACTTTTTTCTCCCGTCATCACCCACCAGAAGGCCTCAAGAAGACAGAGGGGTCTGGGTCTAGTGTATGCTTTTCGCAGACTACCTATGTACCTAGGAAGTCACTCTGCTTCTCCCATCTGTGGAATTCCACCCCTACCCACAGGGTTGATCAGGCAAGACAGGACAGGAGGTGTTTTGAAAGCTGAAGTTCCGTGAGGACTACATTAAGGGATAGAAGGGCACTACTTTCAGGCCTGTATCCTGCAGGTCTTAACGAGGTCTGCACAAGCTGCATAACAATACTTTGGAATTTTTCTTAGATCTTCAAGGTAAATCTGGAAGCAAACAGATGTGACTTTACATCAATTCAAACCCCAAAGGAGACCTGGTACTATTCAACATCTTGGATAATGTTGGATCCAGCCAAACTAGATGAGAGATTGCAAAATCATACACCCTCTGGAGTTATTGCATAATTCTGATTTAAGATATATTCCTTCAACAGACAAACTTCATAGTTGTATTAGACACCATGGAATGGTCTTCACTTCCTCAAAGAAATATACACCTTCTTAGTCTACTTTTCTGTTTTCTTTGAATTAAGACATGGTTACAAGAAATATACCTTTTTTTTTTAACTCTACCAGTAAGAATTTGCCTAAGTGTAGAGAATACAGTATGGCAAACAGGAGAGTCCATTCTCTGTCCAAAGGTAGTTTCTGCTTTTTAGCTATAGCTGATGGCTTCCATGTAAGACTAGTATTGCTAGAACTTCCCATTGCTTTTCATAGGTAATACCTTTATTTTATTTTATTTTTTTAAGTAAGCTCTTCACCCAACTTGGGGCTTGAGCTCATGACCCTGAGATCAAGAGTCACATGCTCTACTGACAGAGCCGACCAGGCCCCTAGAACTTCTCATTTTTGTTTTTAAAATTTTTGTAAAAGATTTATTTATTTGAGAGAGAGAGAACATGTGCGGTGGAGAGGGGCAGTGGGAGAGGGAGAGAAAAACTCTGCACTGAGTGGAGCTCCATCTCACGACCCCAAGATCACAACCTGAGCTAAAACCAAGAGTTAGACACTTAACCTACAAATGTCCATCGACTGATGAATAAAGATGTGAGATATATATATACACACATACACATGCACACACACAGTGGAATATCACTCAGCCATAAAAAAATGAAACCTTGACATTTGCAATGACATGGATGGAGCTAGAATGTATTATGCTAAGTGATACAAATCAGAAAGACAAATACCATATGATCTCACTCATTTGGAATTTAAGAAAGAAAACAAAGGAACATGTTGGGGGGGGGAAGAACCAAAGGAGAGAGAGAAACAAGCCATTAGAGACTCTTTTTTTTTTTTTTAAGGTTTTATTTATTTGTCGGAGAGAGAGAGAGCACAAGCAGGGGGAGAAGCAGAGGGAGAAGCAGGCTCCTCACTGAGCAAGGATCCCCATGCAGAACTCCATCCCAGGACCCTGGGATCTTGACCTGAGTCCAAGGCAGACACTTAACCAACTGAACCCCCCAGGCGTCCCGCCATAAGAGACTTAACGATAGAGAACAAACTGAGGGTTGATGGAGGGATGTGGGTGGGGGATGGGCTAGATGGGTGATGGTTATTAAGAAGGGCACTTGCTGTGATGAGCACTGGGTGTTGTATGTTAAGTGATGAATCACTGAATTCTACTCCAGAAATCAATATTGCACTCTATGTTAACTACCTAAAATTTAAATTAAAAAAAAAAAGAGTACCTACAAATTTGGAGCTGCATATGAAATCTCATTTTATTTTTTTAAAGATTTTATTTATTTGACAGGGAGAGACACAGCTAGAGAGGGGACACAAGCAGGGGGAGTGGGAGAGGGAGAAGCAGGCTCCCCACAGAGCAAGGAGCCGGTTGCAGGGCTCGACCCCAGGACCCTGGGATCATGACCTGAGCCGAAGGCAGACACTTAACGACTGAGCCACCCAGGCGCCCCTGAAATCTCCTCATTTTAAAATGGTGATAACTGGGCGCCTCGGTGGCTCAGTCGTTGGGCATCTGCCTTCGGCTCAGGTCATGATCCCAGGGTCCAGGGATCGAGCCCTGCAACGGGCTCCCTGCTCGGCGGGGAGCCTGATTCTCCCTCTCCCACTCCCCCTGCTTGTGTTCCCTCTCTTGCTGTCTCTCTCTGTCAAATAAATAAATAAAATCTTAAAAAATAAAAATAAATACAATGGTGATAACTTATTCAGTTTTTAAGAAAATTACTCTGTCAACCATAATTGCAAGCCACATTCTAGCCTATGAGCTGCCAATCTGTCCCTCTGACCTAGATAGAATCCTGATGCCCTTTGTTTGCCGTGGGAGAAGCTGGCCTTTGAAGAAACCTATGATTTCTTGATAAATTCAAGGTGAAAAGTATGGAAAGTATAATTGATTAATGGCTTACCCTCTCCTTTAAGAACAATTTTTCCCCCTGAAGTTTATTCTGCCTTTTGGATCAGTGCTGTCCAATCAAAATATAATGTGAGCCACATGTGTAATTTTAAATACTCTAGTAGCCACATTTAACACAGGTGAAATTATGTTTAGTAATATATTTTAGTTAACACAATATATCCAAAATACTCTTTTTTTGTATTAATTAAGTCTTTAAAATCCAGTGTGTATTTTGTACTTATCCCATATCTCTGTTTGGACTAGTCACTTTTCAAGTATTCAATTGCCACATGTGGACAGTGACTACTGTATTGGATAGTGAAGTTCTAAAACATTCTAAAGATCTTTTTAGGGATGCCTGGATGGCTCAGTTGGCTAAACATGTGCCTTCGGCTCAGGTCATGATCCCAGGGTCCTGGAATCAAATCCCACATTGGGCTCCTTGCTCAGCAAGGAGTCTGCTTCTCCCTCTCCCTCTGCCTGCCGCTCCCCCTGCTTGTGCTGTCTGACAAATAAATAATAAATAAAATCTTAAAAAAATAAAGATCTTTTAATAGACTTATTAATTATACTAATCTATAGATTTTAGGAATTCACTCAACAAATATTTATTGAGTACTTATGCTGAGCCAGACTGGACCACATGCTACACACAGTTTAATGGTCAACTAAATTAATTTCATCACTCTCTGGAAGGATCATGTGTGTGTGTGTGTGTGTGTGTGTGTATGTGTGTGTGGTAGGTTTTTGAGTCCTAGTTTTATGCCATACACTAGGATTTGTGACTGAGAGCTATTTTAGAGAATCTAATGAATACATTTGTTTCTCTAATCCTAGTAATAGAGCTTTGTTGATGCCTTACCATTTTGTTCCTGATAAAGGACAAATTCTGTCCTGCCGAGTCATGGAAATCCTAGAATAAGCCCTCAGTTTCAGAGTGGCTGGAACATAAGATATTTTCTATCAGTTGGGGACACAGCATCTTGATTGCTGAGTAAAGCAGACCATTGAGATGCCAGCAACAGTTTTTTGTTTGTTTGGCCTCCTGTTCCATCAAATTAATGAGAAAGGTAATACCTGCATCACATAGTATATTACAGATCCTCAGGCTTCTGCTAGGGGTATTTGGACTGATGAAACAAATTAGGCTTGGAGGCAAAGTTTTGCCTTACAAAAATCACAAGTACCTCCATCTCATGCTCTCCAGGGAGGCCTGAGTACAAACTGATGCCATCATTAATTGACTGTGTGATTTTGGCAGTTTGTTTATCTCGCAGCTCTAAACAAACTAATAGTCCCTACCTCACAAGTTCATGGCAAGTATTAAA